ATATATATATATATATATATATATAAGTGAGTTATTATACAATCATTTACATTTGTACAACCAATACAACTCAATCTCAACCGTCCATTTAATTTGATGAATATGTGATTTCATAAAAGTTTTGATTGTTTCCTAATATAAAGTATTGATCATAATTAATGAACTCTATTCATTTTTCATAAATATTTAAATCATAATAAATGAACGTTCATCATTTTCATAAATATCTCAATTAACTGTGTTGCATTAGTTGCACAAATGGACATGGTTGCATTTGAAATGTACCATATATATATATATATATATATATGGAAATGATAAAATGCAAACCAATCTATTTGTACAAACTGTGAAATCGGTCGATTTCATTGTGTATTTTAGTGAAAAAAATTTCATGAAATTGTTTAATATGATGAAATTGTTTCAAATAATTCATCCCATGATGAAAATGTTCCGTATATTTTTTATTCTATGTAAAAAAATAAATTGTTTCATGCATTTCTTATTTTGATGAAATTTGTTTACTAAAATTTATAGAATGAAGATGATAATGTCCACAACTATTTGAAATGAATTATCTGAAACAATTTAATTAAAAAAATTCACTAAAATAAATAATAAAATCAAAGATTTTCATGTTTATACAAATAGTTTGGTTTACAAAATATACATCCCATATATATATATATATATATATAGGCGGGATCAAATGAAAACCGTCTAATTCTTAGAAACCGTGAAACTAATTTCGATCAATAGGAAAATTTCTTTTTTTCTTAATTAAATTTAATCATTAAGGGTATATTTATCATTTACATTGTTCTCTATTAAATATGGAAGTTATTAATAAATCTTAATTAAGATAACATAATAAAGAAAATTTTATAAATGGTAATATTTAAATGTTTATTTAAATTAGAATTTCAAAAATTGAATATTGTTATTTGGTTTCTCGGTTTATTAGTGGTAATAATATGAAAATCGAAAATTATTATATTCATTAATCCACGAAATCAGTAACAGATCCAAACAAAGATTCATGAACCGTAAAAATATAATCAGCTGTGAAACATATTCATGTTAGATTTGTTCATGAAAACGTTCATTGAGAAACTTGTTTTATGAAACATATGCAGATTGGTTCGTAAAAACGTTCATTGAGAAACTTGTTTTATGAAACTTTTGGGGATGAACTGGTTGCGTAATATAATATTCTTGCATAATCTTGTTTTCTTATCAACAATATTTGATGAAATTGTTTAAATTTGTTTTTTTTTGTGGATGATTTTGTTCACTTAATGGTTAACAAAGCATGTAAAGGTAAATAATTGACTCTATGAAACGTGTTCGTATCGGAAGAAATTGGCTGATGAAATGGGTGCATAAATAAAGTGAAACCATTTCATAATTGATAAGAAAATGTTGTGTAATTAGCGAACAGTGAAGCAATTTCATTATTACGATGAAACGGATCCATCTACCAATAACATGAAAATGACAAATGTCTAATCAGACATTACGTTGATTAGTGTATTGATGAAACCGTGAAACCATGTCGGATTGCAAAAACTTTGTCGATGAAATGGGTGCATAACGACGGAGAAACCATTTCATAATTGTTAAGAACATGTTGTATAATTAGCAAACAGTGAAACCATCTCATAATTAGATTGAAATAGATCAATCTACCGGAAACCTGAAAATGACAAATGTCTCATCTAGCATTACATTGATTTGTGTCTTGATGAAACTGTGAAATCATTTCGTTCATGAAATGTAGTAGTAAATTTATTTTTATTATTATTCAAAAGATTTCATTATGTTAAATTGATTATTGTGTGTTTTATTTTTATTGTTGATCTATTTTAATGATGAATGTTATTTTTTTATAATATTTGAACATAAAATTAATATATTATTTTTACAAATGATTTTGTTTCATTAATATTACGATATACATGATATGATATGGTTGTCATTAGTATCACCACTACCAAAGTTATCATTTTGCCCTTTTTGGGATTATAAAATAAAATTATATTTTTATTTTTTTTAATTTCTTAATATAACCAAAACTAATCTTGACTATTGATCAAGAAAATGAATGAATGAGATTGGTTTACATGGTTTACACAAATGAAGGCGGTTTTCATTTGATCGTTCCTCTCTCTCTATATATATGAAAAATAATCTTTTGCAAATCATCCTTATTTATACAAATTGATTTCATTTGTCTTTATGCATGGTATACTTTAATTAAGAAAAATATCATATTTTGGGAATGATTTCGTGTTTAACCGTTTTTTAAATATATTTTTTTTAGTAATTAGTAATAATCGAACATATTTTATTTACAACCTTTTCATTCATGAAACCATGATACCATAAAATCATGAAATCTTTTATCATGAAATCGTGAGCTTTTTCATTAATGAAAAAATGAAACACGAGAATATGAAGATGAGTTTGTAAAGTTTGTATTAGTAACGTGGTTTGCAAATTAAACCACCTATATGTATATACTAGAAGGGTGCTCGCATAATATAGCGAGATATATTTTAATTTTTAATGTTTCATTTTATTATTTATTTATGTCGATATAATACGGTTTTTAGTGGTTTTGAGAAAACGATAATGTTTTTATTTTTGAATAAAATATAAATTTAAATATATCATAAAAATTTGAAAAATAAAATATACATTGATATTAGTATCAAATTTACTATTGAAAGTCCTGGTTTTTTGTTCAATTTTTTTAATTAATATTTTATTTATAA